GATAAAGTGTCAAATTTGAGAGATTAGTGCACTTTCCTAAACAAGAACCTAAGCCTGATGCACCTTTGTCACCAATTTTATTGCAACTTTTTAAATTTTGAAGACAGACAAAATATTGTTAATTAGTTAGTTCGAAGGAAAAAATTAAGAAAAAATATAAAATAATAAGTAATGAATTAAATAATTAATTCAAGTTAAAGTATAAAATAGAAAAATAAATTAAATTAACAAATAAAAAACAAAGTAAAAAAACATAAGCAGAATAAAAAAGAAAAAGAAATCAAATATAAAGCTAATAAATAAATTAATTAAAAGAGTTAGCTAGCTAAATTGTTGTAAATTCATTTTTATATTAAAAAAATTGCAATCAACAAGTAAACTGTTTATACCCAAGATCAAGTGTCAAATCTGAGAGATTAGTGCACTTTCCTAAACCAGAACCTAAGCCTGATGCACCCTCGTCACCAATTTTATTGTAACTTTTTAAATTTTGAAGACAGACAAAATATTGTTAATTAGTTAGTTAGAAGGAAAAAATTAAGAAAAAGTAATGAATTAAATAATTAATTCAAGTTAAAGTATAAAATAGAAAAATGAATTAAGTTAACAAATAAAAAACAAAGTAAAAAAACATAAGCAGAATAAAAAAGAAAAAGAAATCAAATATAAAGCTAATAAATAAATAAATTAAAAGAGTTAGCTAGTTAAATTGTTTTAAATTCATTTTTATATTAAAAAAATTGCAATCAACAAGTAAACTGTTTATACTAAAGTTTAAGTGTCAAATTTGAGAGATTAGTGCACTTTCCTAAACCAGAACCTAAGCCTGATGCACCCTCGTCACCAATTTTATTGTAACTTTTTAAATTTTGAAGACAGACAAAATATTGTTAATTAGTTAGTTCGAAGGAAAAAATTAAGAAAAAATATAAAATAATAAGTAATGAATTAAATAATTAATTCAAGTTAAAGTATAAAATAGAAAAATAAATTAAATTAACAAATAAAAAACAAAGTAAAAAAACATAAGCAGTATAAAAAAGAAAAAGAAATCAAATATAAAGCTAATAAATAAATAAATTAATTAAAAGAGTTAGCTAGCTAAATTGTTGTAAATTCATTTTTATATTAAAAAAAATTGCAATCAACAAGTAAACTGTTTATACAGAAGATAAAGTGTCAAATTTGAGAGATTAGTGCACTTTCCTAAACCAGAACCTAAGCCTGATGCACCTTCGTCACCAATTATATTGTAACTTTTTAAATTTTGAAGACAGACAAAATATTGTTAATTAGTTAGTTCGAAGGAAAAAATTAAGAAAAAATATAAAATAATAAGTAATGAATTCAATAATTAATTCAAGTTAAAGTAAAAAATAAAAAAATGAATTAAGTTAACAAATAAAAAACAAAGTAAAAAAACATAAGCGGAATAAAAAAGAAAAAGAAATCAAATATAAAGCTAATAAATAAATTAATTAAAAGAGTTAGCTAGTTAAATTGTTGTAAATTCATTTTTATATTAAAAAAAATTGCAATCAACAAGTAAACTGTTTATACTTAAGATTAAGTGTCAAATTTGAGAGATTAGTACACTTTCCTAAACCAGAACCTAAGTCTGATGCACCTTAGTCACCAATTTTATTGCCACTTTTTAAATTTTGAAGACATAATATTGTTAATTATTTAG